ACATCACTTATAGTTAGCTTACTTTGGAAACATTGGAATAGACATCAACAATAGTAGTGCAAAACTTTTCGACATCATTGGTCAACAATTGGTCGATATTCTGGACCTCATTGTTCAAGACATTGAGTCGATAATAGGTGAGTCCTGGAGACACAAAATGGTTAAATCTGTCATTGTCTGCATAATCAAAGAGTCAGTCATACCAGTGGTGTATTTGTTGTAAAGCATAAGAGAGAGTCGGTATCTGAGGCCCAGTTTCAACTGATTGATGCAATACTTAAGACTGTTGTTAACGAACGCCAACACAGGCATTGAGATGAAGAAATCAACTGAACATACAATCAGACAATGAGTTGACTGATGGCGAGGGAGAGTAGGACTCACTTAAGTTGCTCTTCAGTTTGGACACGTCTGCTGTGATGATCGCCGCCTCGATTTGAGTGCCGTTTTGGATGAGCCAGAGATCACACATCGTTCGCACCACAAGAGTTGCCGCGATTCCTGTCAATTGCCATCAGATGTCAATCAATTCATACAAACACTTACAGTGAGTGACAAACAGATACCGAAAGCGTAGGCGTATTCCTTAGGACCCAATGTCTTCTTCAAGATCGCCTTCAAGTGTCCCAAAACACTGGACATCGACTCCAGTTTGGTCTTCACTTCTGTCTGCAATTCATTCATACATTAAAGAAACCATTGATTAATGAGAGATGTGTTTAATGAATAGTTGCTGGCTTACTTTATCGGTGAAAGTAATATCATTGTCTTTGGATCTGTTGGATTAAAGTAACCAATGAATGAATGAATAGACATAAAGTGGTCATACATTTGGTGTGATTTGTTGCGGGCATTGATGACATTGAAGACCCAAATGGACACCGATATGACGGATGAGCTCAACACTACCACACGCTTTGCATCCAATTTGTGTGGATTGCAGTCTTGAGCGATGAGTTTGGATAGGATTGACATCTTATGATCTTATGGACGATTGGATGCAATAATAAATGATATTTAAATATAACTTAAGATCATTTCAAATGAATGTCTGAATGTCTGGACAACTCTTGTGATGACATGACAAACACAACACAACAACACATGAGATGTTTTGGTGTCACTCCACGAGTCTATTGGTCTGACTATATGATAGTCAATGCTAACATAGCATAGGATATACAGTACTACTACCACATTGTAATAGTCTAGTCGTGCATATGTTCATCAAATATGATTTACTAATCAATATTATTGTCTAATAAATAGTGAGGACATGAGTCCAGTGGACAATTTGTTACTAATGTTCAATATAGCAACATTCAGTTACCAATTTTAAGATGTACATCAGATTTAAGATTAAAGGTATTAGACCAGCTTGTCAAGAAAAGTAAGAATATTCTTAGAATACATACAGTATATGGTAAGTTTACCTATGATACCATTTTTTGATATTCTGTATCATAAATTGTGTCAATGTGTGACAAATACACCAGTTTGATTTACTAAATAGTATCTCATATTCTTGTCTATTTGCTCTAATATTCTCGACCCTATAAAACTTGATACTGTACTTGATACATTATAGAATCTACCAATCAATCAGTAGATTCAATCTATAATATTATGATCCCGTATAATATTGTCCAGTGTGTTGAAATTTATTAGAAACACAGATTACTATAGTAAATGAATTTAAGTGGACATATAATTACCGTGTGATGAAAATAACGATTTAATTGAAAATAAATAATTTTTTATAATAAACAATCAAATTTATGCCAGAAGTGGATTCAATAAACTTGCAAATACTCACTCTTTTGTGTGAATATAACAAAACAATTTTCCGAAAACGAATGGATTTAATGTCGCTTTAATTAACGAGTATTTCATCTGAAGGATACCTTACAGTTAAACTTGTTTTTGCAATTTGTTGCAATTGCTTATAATTTTTATTAATTAAACCAATAATAATCATTAATTATTATAACTTAGTATTTCCTGCAAACAATACTTATTTTATATTAATTTAAATACTAATTACCAAAAGGAAAGTTAAATCAATTCATATGCCATACCTATTGGTCTAGTATTAAAAAACTCAAATAATTTTCTAAATCAATCAAATCTTTAATAACAATCAATCTATTTATTAGATTTCGACTTTTATAATAGGTTTATATTAAAATCGAGTTATAGTTAAAAATTATTATTACAGTAACAACAATTGTGTAATATAATATATTGATTTCATTTAAAATATATTTCATTCACAATAAACTCATTGTTTGCTAATTATTGCGAATAATTTAAGAAGTTTGTGATAAATATTTACAAATTGATGAAAACTAAAAATTATAGTTAAAATGAATGTGAATGTCATTTATATACATGAGAACTAAAAACTGATGTTTTGTATTGAATACAAATCAAGCGAATGAAGTAATGATGCGTTTATTCACTGCCGGTCAGAGCGATCGACTCGTCCTTATGACTCGTCTCAGAGTTTATGAGTTTTTCGGTTTCACTCTTTTGATTATTTTGAGGAGTGGGAGGGGGCGAGAGGATCGGTATGTCCTTATCTCTGCCGCACTTATAGGCGTCGACGAGTTCGTCGAGACGTTCAGGAGTCGGACCCCATTTGAGGAAACCGGAGTCGTTCTGGAGGAAGACAACGAGCGTCCCGTGCGCTGACTTCACGTTCACATCGTTTTTGTCGCACACGTGTTGACAACCGTTTCTGTACTCGTGTTCAAAGGCAGGTATTACCAGATGCTTGCGCTTGAATTTACTGCTTTCCAGTTTGGTTATCACTTTTGGCACCGGATCTC